TGACTGCTGTCAAACCTGAACTTTACTGCTTGTGCCATAATGGCTTTTTTTGGTCTAGGAATGATATCACAATATTATACTGTTGTTTTGGGGTCTATCCAAGAAAATGCTCATAACGCCTGATATGAAAAGAATGGTTTCATTTTGTTTGTACGTGTGTGAGCATAAGATGTAATCAATAAAGAAATGATATGTCTTAACATCTTTCTTTTGAAGAGAGGTTTGAATTCTCAGCATATTTGAGACGTATTTTGAGTACTACGAAGGATTAGGATGCACGTGGCTGACATGCACTCCAGAAATTAATTGGATATAAATGCAGAGAGAGCAAGCTGCCAGATTGTTAGATACACCAAGCTGAAATTAAGGTCGTCCACTGAAATAGTTCTTAGTCTTGCAACAAATCTTTTCTTTAACAGTTCTCTTTTTTTGTTGTTGTTGAAACTGTTCTGGAAATGTTTAATATGCCTTAATGGTAATTTCTCAGGCTTTAATATGTGAGTCTGTAGAACTGTACTGCTTTATGCTGACAAGTCATACTGATTGTTGTAATAACTGGGATTTGTTTTGAGTAGCTGTATCTCATAAATGGACGACTGAGTGTACAGATATGTGCTCAAGAGGAAGCCTCATTGTTACTTTGACTCTTCTGAAGCTTTGTGTTCTGGCCTCTTGCTGAGGATAAAGATTAGTAAGTAAGAAAAGCTCGCTGATCTTTCTGTTTGTTTTACAATTTCACACTCCATCAACTTCTTAACCTTCAACATTAGATGGTAGGTTGCTGTTTTACATGTTGCCACTAGGTGGCAACACAACTTTCTATAGCTGCCACTCAAAAAACTCACAGCTGCTTGGATGTGTGCTCCATTACATGCACTGTCTTAACAATATGCAGAACACACAGTGTGCTCTTTGTGTGTCGCTCTTTTTCACTGCATTGTGTAAACACAGAAGGGGAATCATGGATGCAAAAATCTCTGGCAGGACGATTGCTGGATAAAAATGGGAATATTAAGATAAATCTTGTGCTTTTTTATGTAATTTCTGGGAAGCAGGTTCTTGGGCTTAGACCACGTGTTTCTTAGAAAAATGTGAAGGATTTTGGCTTTACTATCATCACTGCCTGAAAATGTTAGAAACCAAGTAACTTATTATAGTTTCATGTGGTCGAACTGAACCATTTGCCACTGATTCGTCTAGTTATTTAAAATTCTCTGCTCACACAGCTTTGTTGGGATACACTGTCCGGTCCTGTGAGGCAGCAGATCTAGCACAGCACCGGCCTGCTGCTTACAGAATACAAACAATCGTGGTTTAGCTCACTATCGTCAGCAAGGCCTCCAGTCATAGGCGCACATCCCAGTGTAGTGATAGTAGACAATTTATCATCTGTGTAGTTCTGTGGGAAACTTACAAGCTGTTCTCCCTGTGTGCACATTTGCATACTGGGGAGAAAAAGCATTTGTCATGAGGCACATCCTTTTTTAGATTCACAGGGAATCAAGATGTGCAGTGTGTGAAATGTGCTGCATGTAGTTTAACTCCTGCCAGTTGGATGTCTTTAAATCTCTTGTTTTGTCTTTATTTGTCTGTTCCACGGACACAAATGATGGACAGACTTTTCCATGTGCTCCGTTTTACTTGGATTCACTCTTAAATGTTGTACTTTTTGTGCGAGGTTTCCTACCTTGAACTAGTTTTGTTCCTCTCAGGGGAACAGGCTTTTTACCTCACTACATCTCCCGTCACTCCTCATCACCGTCGATATACTAGACACTGTCCGTCTTATTACCTCTCCTGAGCTGCTCCTCTCTGCGCCTCCACTGGAGCCAAAGCCATTAAGCAAATGATCTGGTGTTGTGAGGGGTGAGAGAGATGTTGAAATAAACCACCAGAAATTTGACCTTTATGGGCTACTATTGTAGGAACTCTGTATAAAATCTACACTGTAGGTTTTTTGCTGCAAACGCTGCACGTAAAAGGCTGGTGCAACCATGTTACATAAAGTATCATCTTGCCATCAAAATGGTTACTTTTTAACGACAGATTTATGGTGATCAGTGTCTGAGGTGCGTGGAATTTAATTTTCAATAATCGCATTTGGAAAATTCAGCACAATCTGTTCTGAAACATTGTCCTTGGTTAGAACTAATCTACTGATCTCAAAATAGTTTCAGTGAGAACATTCAAATGAAATTATCCAGCGCCACCGTTGTGTCAGCTGTACTCTTGATTTTGTGTGAGGGTTTAGGCCAGGGGTCGGCAACCTGTGGCTCCGGAGCCGCATGTGGTCCTTATGGTGCGGCTCCGCGTGGTTTGGGAAAATAAATTAGTAATAAACAAGTATTTAGCTGAAGTGTATTTTACCGAGAGGAGAGATTATATCTCTCGGCTGGCCTGGGAACGCCTTGGTGTTCCCCCAGATAAGCTGGAGGAGGTGG